CATTTTCTGTCTAATTTTGAACAAAAGATAGTTTTAGTACTAAAGTGAAAAAAACTTCAAACATGAAGGGACAAAGTAAAAAAAAAAAAAAAAACAAACAAATTTTAAGGATCAAAGTGGGAAAATGGCCAAACAAAAACGAAGCAAAGTGTAATTTACCCTTTTTCTACATGTTACACAATAATATTTTCTGGTTTCATTTTTCCAACCCAACCAAACAAAAAAGCTAAGAACAAGCCACCAAAAATGAATAAAACAATCGCTCGAGCGCCAACACCTCCGCTCGAGCGTACAGGCCAAAAATCTGGGCAACTAGTTTTGGTTTCTAAACTCAACCAACCTGAAACAAATCCGTCCAACACATCCTATAACTCAAATACAAAGTAAGAAAGGATGTAAACAAGATAATAAACAACTACCAACATCCACGGACACAAGTCCGGATCACTGTACAACAAGGGTAAACCCGGGATCGCTATAGGGAACCGCATTACTTGATGGTAGGTTGACGCTACCGATCGCATGGTATGCAGCCATGTCCTTCCTAATATTATGTTGTAAGTGGAAGGGACTTTCAATACCCAAAACTCCACTTGTTTCGTCATACTTCCTACTCTGACTGGGAGGATTATCTTACCAATTGGCCACTCTAGCATTGAGTTGAATCCGATCAGAGGAGATACGGCAGGTACCAAGTCTTTATCCTCCAGTTTCAACTGTTTGAAGGTTTCATAATACATTATCTCACATGAACTCCCTTGGTCAATCAAAATTCGCTTGATGTCATAATCCTTGACGCAGAGAGTGACGACCAGTGCATCATTGTAAGGGCAATATATCCTTGCCAAGTCTCTGTCTGAAAAAGACATGACGTTCGTGGCCTCTGTTCTCCCCTTTTTAATGGTAGGTTGCGCACTTAATACCTCCCTTAAGTGCTCAGCCTTCTTGATCATTCCCCTGAGTTTACATACTCGCTCAGGTTCGAATACCCCATGTATTACGTTTATCACACCTTGAGGTGGGGCGTCGATTGGCATTCCGTTTGGGTGATCGTGGTTCTGGGAGGTTGGTTGCGTCCCTCCCTCAATGTACTGGTCCAGATACCCAGTTGCCACTAACTCTTCCCAGTGATGTCTCAACGACGTGCAATTCTCAGTGCGGTGCCCTTTTTCCTTATGGAAGGTGCACTGGGATCTTTCTTCATAGTCCTTTTGTGCCTCTCCCAATATAGCTGGCCATCTGACGAAAGGTTCATCGCGTATCTCACTGAGAATCCGATAGATCGGTTTTTTGAACACTGTGGTAATGGCAGTGCAGACTCTCAACCACCTTTTATCCTGGTCCTCTCCGTTGTCCCGCTTGCCTCGCCCATTCCTATTTAGACGTTCTACCGCATTGACTTTTGTCGTAGTCTTTTTGTCTGGTACTGCTGATGCGCCAGATTTGGTTTTAGCGCGGGCACCATCTTCCTCCACCCGAATGTGCTAGTGTACCCTCTCCATTAAGGCTTCCATTGTGAGGGGTGGCGTCATGGTGATTGAGTCCCTCAACCTGCTTCTGACTGAAGACCTTTTTTGTACTGCGCGATGGCGAGATTTGTGGGGCAATCTCCTAGCTGGTTGAAGGTCTCCCAATAACGACTGTTGTAGGATCTCAACGTTTCCTTGTCGCCCATGTCAATGGAGAGTAGTTGATCGATCTCTACTGGCGTCTTGGTGTTCGTTCTGAACCTTGTCACGAACGCCTCCGCTAATTGCGCCCAGGAGGCTATGCTGCCTTCTGGTAGGCTTTCGAACCAGGTTAAACCTAGGTCGCCAAAGCTGGATGGGAATAGGATGCACATCAAAGCCTCGTTCCACCAGTATACTGCCATGACTTGGCGAAAGTGGCTTAGATGCATGTAAGGATCTGTCTTTCCCTCGTACGTCGTAAATTTAGGCTGGATGAAGCCTGAAGGTAATGGTGCGTTCTCAATCGCCAGAACGAACGGCGAGCTATGTAGCCTTGCCAATGCTTTATCTGTTGGCTCGTAGGCAAGGTGCGGTATTGGCATTCCTACCTCGACGCTTCCATGCGTCCAAGGAGCCAACCGCTGAAGGGCTGAAACTCTGCGCGGGTCGCGTGCCCTGGTATCCTCCTTCCGTCGTACCCTTTCTTCAAGCATAGTCCGTAAGTCGGACGATCTAGGCAACTCCGTTTGCTTAGATGATGTCAGGTGCGTCTGTGAGGGCTGATAGGTGCTTCCCTCAGTGTAAGACCTCAATGTTCTCGTTCTCTCAGACCTAGAGTAACGAGTCCTTGCAGTCTTTGATTGAGTATCGCATGTTCTGAGGCTCCTACTCTGAACTTGTTATGACGTGGTATGTCTACCATGATCTTTTGAGTGGCGAGGAGGCGTATTGCTTTTGCGCCCGTCTCCTGTCACCACCCCCTTCCCTTTTATCTGGCGCTTCATCAATTCCATGTCCGCCGCCATCTTCCTGATTAACTCGTCCTGCTCCTTTACCCGATCCTCCAAAACTTGAGGGTCGATCCTCCAGGACTTGATGAGCGACGGGGGCTGTTACCCCGTCTCTCCCTTGCATCCCTCCGGGGATTCTGTCGTTGGGGCTCTAGATCTGTCATGAGAGGGATGGAAGGAAAACCTTCACGCCTCCTACCTCTCTCTGGGGTTTGCCCGTCAATGGCAGACTGCGGCAAATCTTCATTGTGCGCCATTGTGTCTAATCTAGCGAGGGAAACTTTGATCAAGAGGTTTCGTTCTTTCTGTGATTCCCACAGACGGCGCCAATTGTATGAGCAAGAAATAATCTTCTTGTATAATCCTGTTGATCAAGTCCGCGCTCCTTCAAACGTCGTCGCTTTACTTCCTCAAAACACAAACGTGAGCTAGCTGGCGGGTGTGTGCCGGATACCTCTCCGATGCCTAAGTCAGCAAAATAGACAAATACACAAAAGCTCTGTGTATTCGAGAATCAAAGTTGTGTTACCTCTCCATAGGTGATGTTGTGAGCGTTTATAGGTTCCGCGTGGCACAATCCAAGTAGGACTCTTACTCCTCCATGTAGAGTCCTCCTAGGAATCACATTCCTGAAAGATAATGCTTCCAACGATACCCCAGGAATTTCTAGTAGTATTTCAGCGACTTTCCGGTGATGTTGAACATTTGGACGAGTCTCCGATAACTGTCTGACGGAATTCCGGCGATGATGGAATGTAGCAACGTCTTTAAAAAAAAAAATTAGATTTTTTAGTAACAATTAAAAATATATAAAACTAATTGGTGTAAATATTTTATTTTGAAATTAAATGGATTTTAAATTTTATATATGAGACTTATAAATAAGTTTCCTTTTTTAAATTTCACAATTTCAAATTGAACCAAACCGTGATATAATAGTTTAGTCTGGATTAATTGTAAAAATTTTATGAATTAATTTGATTCCAAATTTAATGAAATCATAAATAATAAATTAAACTTGATTTACGACTAAACCGATAGAATTCGAAACTCACCCCTAGAGTGATTAGCACCGCTTTTGATATGGCCTACCTAGAAAGATGGAGCACCGTAGGAGATATGATCAAGCATACAGATGATTCCCAACTACAGCTCTAACGTACGCCTCCTTCCTAGCATGCGCCGTTGTTGTTTCACTTCACCTTCCTAGCATGCGCCCTTGTTGTCTCACTTCACCACATTCTTATATTTTTTTCCCCCTCATTTTCTTCGCTGTCTCTCTCTCTCTCTCTCTCTCTCCCTTGGATTTGCAGGCAGCTGAAAAGCCCTAGTTCTCTTGAATTTCGAACAACGCACTCGATGGTACTGCAGACCTTGAGGCCAATAAAATCAAAAAATTTGAAGTTAACTTTTTCTCTTTTGGTTTCGTAATTATTTACTCTGTTTTATGTAAGATCTGACACCCTATCTCTACTCTGCTCTTTCTATTTTATTTTCCGTTTGGTTTCTGAGAAAACAGAGGAAGATGAGACAAAACCTGGAGCCTGCCCTGTCCTGGTCGCGGTTTGAATGGTTCTGAATTTCCCAAGTTTTCTTATCTTTTTGGCCGTTTTCTCAGCAGCCAAACACAGCTACTTCTAGAAAAGAGGTCACTTTTTTTATGCTAATTTGTGAGAATCGTTTCAATTTTGATGGTTTTATTGGAATTGAATTTATTTGTAATTAAATTTGTTTAGTTGTAGTTGAAAATATTGTTTTTCCCTCCTTACCCAATTAATTTTTAAGTTGTATTTCATTTTGATTTGTTTAATTGTTGAGACAAGGTTTTTTTTTTTTTTTTTTTATGGTCATGGTTAAGTTGTTTGTGCAATAGAATGTTTGACTAGCTCTCGCTTGATTATGATGGAGATTATGAACTTTGGCTTTGGAATTTAAATCTGCCTCTTGTTCTGTTCTATGGTAGATAAGAAATGAGTGCAGGCCATTATTTGTGGGGATGTTATTGTGTGTTTTGTTGTAGGAACTAAGAACTCTTTTGCAGGTGTTCTTTGAACAATCTGTATTTCAGAAACTAATAAGCAGATAGCAAGTGAAAGTGTTAAAAAAGAACCAAGGGCTTGATCAGTGCAAGTTTTTGAAAGAAAAAATTGGAGAAAAGAAGAAAACAGAAATATGGAAACAAAAGGAAAGCTAGGACCTGTTAGAAACAGAACTAAAAAACTGGAAATGCTTGAGTATATACTTTTATTCCATGCCCATGTACATTGGACTTTTTTTCTCATCAGATTTGATGATATTTAATTATGGTTGATTTGATAGCTCTAGAATTTCTTACACCAAACTCTTGAAATTTTTTTTGGCCTTTATTTTAATTTTTCTTAATTATTTACTACACTTGTCTAGTTCTTATCATAACTTTCACACTAAAAAAAAATAGACATTTAGTTTTATATCCACTGCATTATGAATTTTGCTCTGCTTTTCTCTTCTTTTCTTTTCTTTACTTATTTATTTATTTTTTTAGTTTACTTTTTTTTGTTGATATGAAGACATATATTGGTATGGTAGGCTTGATGCTTTTTGGCTTCGAGAGCTTTCGCTCATGCATTTTAGCTGTCTGCTTTTTTGCCTTTTGTATTTTGGTTTCTTTGGATTAAAAGGTTCCTTCAGTGTTGCTGACATCGACTGGTCATCCTACTATTTGTAGTTTCTTTATGACGTGGGTAGATTTTCATAAAACTGTATAATAAGAAAGTGCATCTATTCTATCATAGATATGCATGGCTTATATGAAGTCCCACTTCCTGTTACTTAAAGGCCAGGCCTTACCTTCAACGTTAGGAAAGCAAGTTTGAAGTCTTTTCTAGCATTTGAGTACGATAAGAAGCCAATCTAATAATATAGGTGCTCTTTGTTGAGAGTGTTGACTCATTCCTTTTGCATCTGGCACAAATGCCACCTTCTAATGAATTTATTAACTCTGGAACAGGATGACTGTCTGCCAGATTGTTGTCACAAAGGATAAGAGTTCTTGTGGAATAATGTTTACTGTTGCTTGTGATTTGGTCGAGTTATTTTTGAGTTCATAGAATGGATCGGTGTGATACATCAGGATTTGTTAGTGGGGGTGCACTGTAATCTTTTGAGGCTCTTTGAACCCCTTTAATCCTTTATTACAACCCCAGAAGTTGGGCAAACTGTTTTATTACAATTGTTAGTTGGTTTGGGTAGGAAGCTTTACATCTGTTAAGTAGATGGACAACACTCCTCGACATCTTATTGCTAATTTTGCCTCAAATGTGTCAAACAACCTGTGCAAAGTTGGAGATACAGGAGTTGTTTGTTCCAGTGTTGCTGCTTTGCAACTTCATTCTCCTGATGTTTCAAGCTCTTATTTTTCAAATTCCAGTGGAAGCAAAAGAAAATGGGGTGTCAATGGTGGTTCTGTGAACCTGCAGGACAGCTCTTCTCTAGTTCTTGGTTTGGACCGTTCATTAAGTTCTTGCACTACCATATCATTGGGGAAAGAAATTGAGGAGGGGTCTTCAATCGATCTTGGTTTGAGTATCAACCTCCTTGAGAGAACAGCTAAACAAAAGAATGTATCATGTGAGACTCCCAAGGGACTGCAAGTGGAAAAACCAAAGCTAGAACTTGAGCTGAGTTTGTCTACTGGGCCTTCTGATTCTGATATAACTTCTGTTACTCAAGGATTCCCCCCATTCCAGAATAATGTGGAGTCTCCAATCACAATTGGTGTAGTTCAATTTGTGGATGAAAGGTCAACGTCATCTCGATGGAAGCTAAGGCCTCTTGTGCTTCCATTGCATACATTACAAAGCACAGAGAGCTCTACTCCTTTTGACCATGGTCTTACTCATATCGATCCAACTCCAGTTACCCCAAACCTCTCATCAGTCACGGTAATCACACCAAAAGGCTCAGTTGCCTGTGCTTCTGGGGTAACTCATCAGCAACAGCATCAGCGACAGCGACGCAATACTAGTGTAAAAACCTGTCAATTCAATGGATGTACAAGAGGAGCAAGAGGTGCTTCTGGCCTTTGTATTGCCCATGGCGGTGGCAGGAGGTGTCAGAGAGCTGGCTGTCAGAAGGGAGCTGAAGGCAAGACAGTATTCTGCAAGGCCCATGGGGGTGGCCGGCGTTGCCAACATCTCGGGTGCACGAAGAGTGCCGAAGGCCGAACAGACTATTGCATTGGCCATGGAGGAGGTAGGCGGTGCAGTCACGAGGGTTGCACCCACGCTGCAAGAGGGAAATCTGGCTTATGCATCCGGCATGGGGGTGGCAAGAGGTGTAAGATGCAAAATTGCTCTAAGAGTGCTGAGGGCATTTCTGGCCTATGCATCTCCCATGGCGGAGGCCGTCGTTGCGAGTATCCTGACTGTACAAAAGGTGCTCAAGGTAGCACAATGTTTTGCAAAGCACATGGTGGGGGTAAAAGGTGCACGGTTTTAGGGTGTACAAAAGGTGCAGAAGGGAGCAAACCATTATGTAAAGGCCATGGTGGGGGGAAACGGTGTTCGTTTGCAGGGGGATGCTTGAAGAGTGTTCATGGAGGAACCTTATTTTGTGTTAATCATGGTGGGGGCAAGAGATGTGCTGTGCCTGAATGCGCCAAGAGTGCAAGGGGTCGTACAAATTTTTGCGTCCATCATGGTGGAGGAAAAAGGTGCAAATTTGAGGGATGTGGGAAGAGCGCACAGGGAAGCACTGATTTTTGCAAGGCACACGGTGGAGGGAAACGTTGTTCCTGGGGCCAATCAGGCATTCCTTGTGATAAATTTGCTAGGGGGAAATCTGGTTTATGTGCTGCCCACGGTGCCCAGGTGCAAGACATGAAGATCCATGGTGGCAGAACATTGGTTCACACACTGCATGACCCGCACTCCATCACATCCAACAAGATGAAAGGGATCAACCATGCCAATGGTACTGAAACTGCAGGCAGAGTCAGTGCATCAATTAATTTTATGGGTTATGGGCATCCTGTGCAGGTACCGACCCAGGACACAAATAGTTGTTTAGTTCAGTTTTCACTTCCAGAAGGTAGGGTGCGTGGAGGAAACCTAATGTCAATGTTAAGAGGCACTACCGGCTTCGGAGCAAGAACCAATAATCAAGTAGTTGGTGGCCCATCAGAGCCAGGAACATCTAATCCTGTGCCTCACAACTGGGTTTAAGCAAACTTCTTTCCTTTTCGTTGTGTTGGAATTGGATCTGCTTTTAGCTAGTAGTTTAGAGATTTGGTGATTATGGATGAGAAATCAAATTCTCATCTCAGTGATTTCCTCAAAAACTCATTTGAGATAATAATGGGGAAAATAGCTTGGGTATGTGTAGTGTTTAGAATACAGGATTTCATATCATTTTCATGTGTATTACTTTATATTTAATTTTGGATATAAGTTAATCTTTAGAATAAAGGGTTTTTTTTTTTTTTTTTTTTTTTTTTTTTTTTTTAGGGCCCTTTTCGTTAATGTAAGTCATATAGTTCTGGTGTATCATTTGATATTCTAAAATTCTATTTGTATAGATAATTGTGTACTAATTCAACAGTAGATTATGCTGATTCTTCTAAACCCCATATGGATAAAGTAATTCCAAAAGAAAATGTTCCCATAGATAACTCTTTAAAAGAATTTACTTCAGATTCTTGGTAAATTAGCTAAAGCAACCAGTTTTATGGTCACCATTAGGAAGATTAAGGCTATGTTTGGATTAGAATTTGTTTAAAGGAAATTAAAAGGAAAAGGAAAAAAAAATGAAATTACTCATTTTTCTACGGGTAAATTACACTTTACCCTTTTATGTTTCAAATTTTTCTCACTTTACTTCTAAAATCAACTTTTATTCAAAATTAGATAGAAAAGACCACAATAACTATCATATAATATAAAATATATTATTATATTAGAATTTAAGTTTATGTTAGAGGTGTGAGTCATATATAATAAAATATTTTTATATCACGTAATTGATAATTTGTCATTTTTGTCTAATTTTTAACAAAAATTAACTTTAGAAGTAAAGTGTGAAAAACTAGAAATACGAAGGGTTAAAGTGGAAAAAATAAGCTTGAAGGACCAAGTGGGAAAATGGCCAAACATAAACGAAGCAAAGTGTAATTTACCCTTTTTCTACAGGTTACACAATAATATTTTCTGGTTTCATTTTTCCAACCCAACCAAACAAAAAAGCTAAGAACAAGCCACCAAAAATGAATAAAACAATTTATGAGACAAATTTATCAAAATCGCCAAAAATTGCAATCAAACAAGCGATACAACGAGGGCTCCAGCACAACATTTGAGATATTTACCATAAAAAATGAAAATGATCTTAGAACATTTATTTAACATGTATGAAGCTCATCAATTTCTCAACACAGTTTAGGAACCAACTCATATTCTATTGCCACCATCGTGGGCTGCAAATTCCTATTAGTAAGATTTTTCATGACATGTAAAGATGTATTTGGTTTACATTTTATCTGTGTGCTAAAACAAACAAACAAACAAACAAAAGAGAAGAAGTTCACAACAAAACCAATGGGCTCATTTAAAAAGCGACCTCATAGACAAATTCAATGATTACGCTTATTGTTCAGACCCAATTTTGATGTGGAAGCCTTTTCCCAAATCTGTATATTGGTTTCTATGATAGCAAATATCCTTGTGGCCACCAAAAAGATTGCTAGATTGTGAAAGACCCCACTTTTAAATGGGTAATTTTTACCCTGAAAATCAACTTGACGGCTTGTGTCATTCTACACTCCTGAACTTACCAAAGAGCACGAATTTTTATATCTGGTGCACGCTAGTTCTTTCTAACAGAAGTACTGGAAACTCCAAGCAACTAACTTTCCATGAGCAGTTTCTCTGTATAGCATAACTGCATCAGCACCCTCTCGTATAGCAATGGAATATTGGCAATGTCTGACACCTCTGCTCAGGTTAGTGTAGGATGGAGAATTATGCTTTCTAGCATATTTGATGCCACAATAACTGCTGTCCCCATGCTACCACAGATCCTGATTATCTCTTCCTGCATGTTCGCAGCAAATTGTTAGCTTAGTTAGTAAGGTGTCATTTGGCAACATTTAAGTTTTATTGTTTTTGTTTGCAGAAAATATTAGCACGTTTATGTTTATGTTTATGTTTGGTAAAAATAAAAACAAAAAATATGATTTTGATGTGTTAGAAAAGGAGAAAAATTGAAAACAAGTGAAAGGGGTGGCAATTGCAGGAGGTAGTTATCAACGATAGCAGATGGTGATTGGAGGAAGTTGTAGGCCGCCAAAGGTGGTTAATGACAGTTAAAGACAGTGGCCGACCATTGGAGGTGGTGACCAAAGGTGGTTTTTGGCAAAAGTTGGTGGTAGCTGGAGGTGGTGACTGAAGGTGGTTTCTAGCAATAGGTGATTCGTTCAAGTTCTTTCTATTGACTAACACTCTTGCTTAGCCTTTCGTTTTCATCGAATTAGAGCTTGTCTCTTAGGTTGTTCAGCTCGCTTTGGAATTGAAAAATCTGGATTTGAAGATATATTATGTTGGATAAACATGAAGTTCCATGCTTGTTAGAAAGTTTTACCGAGTATTTTACTGAATTTCGAGTTTGAGAAATTGAATAAGAAAAATGTTTTAGAGCTCTAAAAGAAGAGCTCTAAAGTAGCATTAATTTGTCTTCTTCCTCTTTTTGTTTTGTCTTTTTCCTCTTTTCTTTTTTTTTTTCTTTTTTTTTTTTGAGAAATGCTTTATACCACTAATTAGTGGTGGCTCTAATAATACCCACTGCCACAGTGTGTTTGTGCCTTGTTTTTTTTTTTTTTTTCAATTGTCACCTCACTAGTGGTGAGATTAGTGATGACAAATTAGTGGTCTATAGCACTGCTCTTTTTTATTTAGGTGTGCCAGCTCAGTAGAACTGTTGTTAGAGCAGCTCTGCTAGAGCTCTCTAGCAAAGCTGATTGAATAATGATGAAATTGGGAGGGAAGATTACCTGTTGATGAGATGCCCTCACTAAAAGTTATATGTTGAAAAAACAGAGGAATGTTTGTATAGGAGTTGTAGGTCTAAGTTTATTGTATTGTTTTATTATATTATGTTTACCTTATTATTATTATTATTATTATTATTATTTGCAGAGTGTGTGTCTTGCCTTCCTTTTGCTTGGTGCAGCTTCTGAAATGTGTTTGGAAGGATGAAAAAAAAAAAAAAAAAAGACTTCTTGAGGTTCAAAAATAAATAATCTCAATTGTGCATATAATATAAATTTCTTTATATTTTGTGAGGATCACATTGTGCTAGGTTTGTCTATCTTGACTCTCCACATGAATTTGATTGCTCCACATTGCAAGTTTGCATTGGATTTCACATTTTAAGAGTTAAATCTAGTTGGAGACAGCTTGTATTCTAGTATTTGTTTCATTCTTGCTACTGTGAAGTTTTTCCATTGGATTTCACATTTTATGAGTTAAATCTATCCAATGTACCAACTTTTAGGTAACAGTCAAGTTCATCTAACTTTACCAAAAAAAGAAAAAAGAAAAAAGAAAAAAAGGGGATAACAGAAGCCCAAAAATGAGCTAATTAATATTTTATTAAAGCACTGATTTTCTTTCAGCATTTTCTGAATATAGGAAAGCTTACATCAAAGGTGGAAGTTAACAACAAACAGGCTTATGAGCAATGCCATGTGCAATTCTTCATTGCATAGATATTTTAATATTCTCTCATCCTTCCACAGGAAGTTCTCTAAGAAAAAAAACTATTCCTATAACTACATAGAATTTTTGTTTTTTGTTGTTTTAACATATGTACTTGAACAAATGGAAAGTGTTTAGTTTTTTATTCTTGGCAAGTGGACTAACTATGCCTTGAAATTTGTTGATAAAGAACTTTTTTTTTTTTTTGCTGTGATTTGTAATCACCTACAAGGCATTAGTATCTAGTGTTTCCAATTGTTTCTGGAATCATTTCTAGCAAGAGTTTCCTGGTTAGCAACTAATTACAAATGACTGAGAATTTTTCAGTGACTGATAGTATTTGGTTTTAGAACTTGAGTCCTTTTCATAATATGGCAATATTGGGGAATGAGATGAACATAGACACTGGTATTGATCATTTATATTGCTTTTAACTTGTAGAAAACTGTCTTTTTTGGAAGTATGTCGAAAATATCACGTAGATCTAATAATTATTTTATTGCTTTAACATTTTTTTTTTGGGTACGTTGGAAACGGATATTGCTTTAACATTTAATTGTGACACATGGGGGTCGGAGTTGAGAGCAGCCACTGTGTGAAATTCGCTTGACATTTGGTCTCATTTTTGGTTCCAAGGCTCAATTTTGTTTCACATTTGGTCTTTTATGGGGTTTTGTTTGATCTCCACGGCGCAAATTTCTTGTGGATACACTAATCATGCTGATGGTAAGAGTGGGTTGGATCATTTCTGATTTTCTTGAGCTGGTTGGGTGATTACAAAATGGGGGAAAAAATTAAAAAGAAAAGAAAGAGGACTTGCAATATAGTTTATTGTGCTCAATCATTTTCAATTTAATTGTTATTATTATCCTAGATTTTCTAACCCGCTGAGTAGAGCAATTTCTCCCATCACTTATGTACCTTATGAATGATATTAAAAAAATAATAATTTAGGCTTTAGAAATCTTTGCAAGCTTACAATATAGTTTCCTAAATAGATTGACCAACATTTGTAAGCCAGTTATGTTCTTTGGTTTGGATAAATTAGAGGCTTATCTTTGCTTATAATTCCTTCTTACTTGTTATTTGTGGCAGCCGGCAGCAGTTCACAAAATGTTGCAAAAGTGATCAATTGCAAACTCAAGGTATTCAGTTGCAAGCTCAAGATGCTGTAATAAACTCTTTAAAAGAGCAAGTAGCATTTTTGATGAGACAGAGACAGTGTTCTAGTGGTTTGCAAGTATAACTACATATAACACATTTATCTAAATGATGTATTTATCATATGTTATCCTTTTCTAAATTTATGCATACTCATGTAAACTTTGTCGTATAAATTAGGTGACAGATGGATCTAGTGGCATTCCAGACCAGGCTTCTCCACAAACACATCAGAGATCCTCTTTTGGGAGTCATGAAATGCAACCTTTTAATCGGGGTAAGTCATCATTACAATACACATACATTGACAGAAATTTAGAACCAATGTTAATGACTTCTCTACCAATAAAATGTTAGTTGGTTTGGAAAAAATTGGGATTTGATAGGTTGACTTTCTGCTTTGCTTCCTTTACTGACAACTACAAAAATACCAAACAAACCAGTGAAAAATAGAGAATTGGGCAATCGAACAAATTTGAATATCAGCAATGGATCAAACTGTAATATACAATTGAAAAATAGACCCTTGGATGCTATTATTGGTTGCTTGATTTAGTGGTTGTTACTAATGTTTGGCTTTATTGGCTGATTCAGTCCAAATGCCAACTTGTTGGCATCTTATATTTTATTCGGATATGTTTAACATCCAAGCTTTGGAGTCTGCCCATAGGATATATAAGGAAGGAGAGTCTTATGTTCAAGGGCACATTGAAAAATAAAGAGTATTACATATAGCATGAGTAATAACTTCTTTTCATTTACAAAAAAAAAAAGAACATCCGTTGTAAGAGTCTTTCAATTGTAATGTTTATGTTTATAGTATATGAATAAAAGTCCATTTTCAAAACCGTTGTTCTTTCATAATATAATCCTTTTCTTGAGTGATACGCTGACTATGAGAGATTGAGAATAAGGTGAGGCAAGGAGGCTATTAGTGATTACCAATAGGCGAGAGACCACTTGGGAAAACAGAAGCTGAAAGCAAGATCCAAACTTAAAAGACCTTGTGGAATGTGTTCTTCATCAGAGTTCTATACTTAGGAGTAATAACAGAGGCGAGGTGGGCACATATTTAGATATAATTTCCTAGACATTAATAATTGTTAGTTGCTTGCTTACATGTTCTAAGCCCTTTAGATGTCTTTATCCATATCTAATCTTAGAAATTTACTTGCAGTGCTTAAAGAACAACAAGAAGAACTAACTGCACAAATTGAGAAAATTTGTTTCTTAAATCTTTAGCCACCTTACACTTCCGCATTACTTTATTTTTTTTTCCATTTGCTGTTGTTTCTCTCTTAATGGCTGATCTATCTTAATATGCAAATATGATCTTCAACTTCATTGTAATCTTTATTTTTTGATACGTAAACCACATACTTACCAAAAAAATAAAACTTGTCAAGAATTATTTGTAGTCTAAATTTTCTTTATAGATTTTGAAATTGAAAATGATACTTATGCTCATCCAATCAATTTATTGCAAGAAATAAGACAATATGAAAGCATCAAGCAATGGACGTCATTTCTCGATTTGAACATTTTTTATGGAGGTCTTTATAAAATGGCGTCATAAGTAATAGTTTTGAGTACTATTGTCATGTGACAAGTTTATTTGTACCTTTTAGATTATGGTGTGGGCTATTAGTTTACTAGAAATATTGGGTCTATTTTGTATTATAGGTTATGTAATGAACCCTTTAATTAAGGTGTTTTGGATAGTTTAGGATTATGAAAATACAGACTCTTTTACTTTTTACAATTATTGAGTATTGAGCCATTGGAATAAAATAGTGTTTATATAGATATATAATGTGAGTAGGGATAAGTGAGAAACAACCATTAATGGATAGCAAATCATTAAAAATTTCAAGCTATATATTATTGGTAATTGAATAATAAAAATAGCCTATAACTACAGTTAATAACCGTCGCTGTAAATAAAATTCAAAAAGAATTCTATGGCTATAGCGACAGTGTAAAACTGATGGAATAGAGTGAAAATATAGCAGTGGTTCACAAAATGTCGCAAAAGCGAAGGATATAGCAGCAGTCAATCTGTCACTATAAAGTTATCAAATAATGGATAAATTTAAGATATAGTGACACTTGTAATCGTCGCTACATCAACCGTCGCAATAAAAATAACTATACCAGCGTTTGACAAAAACGTCACTATAAGGATATAGCGACGGGGCTATTGCAGCGGTTTAGCCGCCACTATTTTAACCGCGGGTAAAAGTCTTTTAGTTTTCAGTGACGTTTTTTCTTCTTTTCAGCGCATTTTTGGCCGCTGCTAAAAGTGAAATTTTTTGTAGTGCTAATGGCTGTTTCTGAACCTGATATGAGGCTTCTCACACCTTCCTCACACCTTCCTCATACCAGATTGCATTTTATAGTTTTTTTTATCTTCTCTATATGTAGATTTTTAAGGTGAGATATATGTAACTTTTCTCCTACTTTTGTAGGTACTATTTGGGAATTTCACTGAGGCCTAGTTTGGTATAATTTTAAAAAGTCAAAAAATCACTATCCTATTTAAATCACATCATCTCTCTATTATATCACTTTAAACTCAATTCACATTTCACATTTTTTTCGTAAAAAATAAAAAAGTGTATTTATTTAAATCATCTCAAATAAACCCCTGAGGATGAAACCAGGTCATGGCTCAAAACAGTCATCTGAAAAGACTGAGAAGCATGTGGAAAAGAAAGAATTGGAAGTTAGTTCTTCAAATGTTGTGATTGGATTATGTTTTGGGTGGCAATTTGGATTTAATGTTACCTTGCACTGACATATATTTGGTGGTTTTTTTTAAATTTTTTTTTGGATTGAAGAGTACATATATTTTGTGCAGTACAAATCTCATGAAATGTACAATTATATTGGATATATAAAAAATGTGATTAGCTTAATACATGGTTGGCATATGGATATGTAAATTTGAGCCATTTGTGTTTTTAGTTAAATTCTCAAGCTGCTATTAAATTCTCTCTTTTTTTTTTTTTTGAGGAATTAGTTAAATTTTTTGGTTTATAATCTTTAAAAAAAAAAAAAACCGTGGCGTTTTTTAAAAAACACCACTAAATGACATCGTCATGATGTCATACGTTATTATGTGACGGAAAGGTAGCGGGCGTCAAAGTTTTTGCGATGTTTTTTAGAATGTTGTAAAGCTATTACGGCGGCTGTATTAGCGACGCAAAGATTAAACGTCGCTATAACATATGACGGCATTTTTGAAGCTTATACAGGCGTTTCTGAATCGCCGCTAAAAAACAATTTTCCTGCAGTGAATGAAAGATGTATACTAAAACATTTTTCCAGAAAACAAGAACCAAGATTGGTGAGAAAAGGCATATTATTCTATTAGAAAATGAAAAATAAATACAAAAGTCAACAGTAAAATAGATGGTGATTTCTGTTATTTATTTATTTTTTATATCAGTAAAAAAAATCTTTATTGATGAAAATATATAAAATATGATAAATACATGAATAAAGAGGAGCATGATAGTGATTTCTGTTATGTTTAACTGGAATCAAGGCATTGACCTTCTAATCCAATTAAACTGAAACTAGAAAAGCGATACACATGTATAGGAATAATATATAAGTAAAAACATTGAAGGCAGCCTCCCACTTAGATCATTTGACTCTGATCTGCAAGGCTAGTTTAATAATTACAAGACTTTGACAATGCAGCATACAGAAAATCCTCCATGGCTTTGGCTGAAGACCCCTTGAACCCTTTCTCATCATTCTTGGAATTGTTAAGCATCTCCATAACCTCACAAGCTTTGTTTTTCATGTCTTTCCCTTTAGTTGACCCACCCATCACCAAATCAATCTTTTTCACTATGTCTTTATGATTAACCTCACTGCTCCCACTTCCCACCCCAACACAAAGTCCCATCTCTTCCTCCAACATCTTGGCATTGAAGTTTTGCTCTGCCCCCATCGGCCACGAAAGCATTGGGACTCCATTGCTGAGAGCTTCAAGCACTGAGTTCCATCCACAGTGGGTTAAAAACACACACAGAGATTTATGGGACAGAATTTCCAACTGGGGTGCCCATTGTTGCAGTAGCAGCAGCCCTTTGTTACTATCTTGAATACGCCTCTCAAAGCCTCCCGGTAACCATTCTCCATCATTATGGTCATGATCTGTGACTGAGTTCGATGGTGGCCTAACGACCCAAATGAAATTTTTGCCACAAGCTTCCAAAGCCATGGCCAACTGGATTGTTTGTGATGGTGATGGTGCACTTTGTGACCCAAACGCCACATAAAGAACTGAATTTGCTGGCTTCGAATCAAGCCATTTCATGCAAAGATGCATTGTGGCTTCAGCGTCACCAGCACGAGCTTTGCTTCCCAAGGAAGACAGAATAGGCCCAACTGACCACACGGAACAGCCAATTTGCTGCCTAAAATACTCCATCCCAACATGGTCAATCTCCTCTATGGTGTTGAACAAAATCCCATCACTCTCCAACCAATCTCGAAACATATCTTGAAGAGATACACAAAGGAAAAAAGGCGTACATAGATAAAGTTAGGAAAGAATCCTTGTACTATAAAAGGAATGTGGCGGTTAGGCAATGTTATGTGTGGTATTATTCAACCTGTTGCAGCATTGCTACTTTGGAAATTCAATTTAACAAACTCATCCGGCAATCAATCGTTGGATTGTGCCTTTTTGACTTGCCCTTGAACCATTTCATCCTACCTGTGTGATTATGTTTATTTGCATTTTTAGGGTTGAAGGAACTGACCTCTGTAGAACAAAGTTATAAATTTGTAATGTAGTTTTTTCGTGTTAGTTATCTGAAAAATGGTAGTTCATGCGGTTGGTGATGTCTGTAGGAAATTCTCCTCCAATGTCCCCTGTATTAGTTTACCTTTTTTTTTGCAGAGTTTTTATATAACCATGCTTGCCTTCCCAGTTGTCGGTATTTTCCTATGTACTGTGGACTGACATCCTTCTGGTTTAGTTTTAAAATCCATTCAAAACTTGCTTCTTGATACTGCTAGCATTGGAAATGAGTATAATTAATCATCAGAGAGTTATATAGTGTCTCTGAAATACACAGCAATGTTTAAGCTATGTATACAAAAATCAAACCAGCAATGTAACAGCCCACGAGAGATGATAGAACTGTTGCATTCAGTTTCTGTCATTATATTCTTGCTGCATATAAAGCCTTTATATCCAGTATTTGGATTTCAGCAGTGAATAAGCTTGAAACCATATGATTTGGGATTTGGAGGAGTCTATAGCTGTAGATCGTAACAAGGGCATTAGATGCCTTCATGATGGGGTTAAGGCCATATATTCTTGACACACAGACATGCACTTTTTCCTGCCTTTTAGAGTATAGAATGTTATTAAAAAAATGGAAAGAAAAGAAATTGAAGCTAATAGTTGTGTCATGTATAATGCTTGGGCCTATACAATCTGCATATTATACTTGGTTAATAGCAGGTAGCGATTTGGGCTTGATAAAGGCCGATTGAGCAAAAGGTTCTCAGATTTGACAGACCTAATTTGGCTGTAAGGTCTTCGCTCACGGACGGCATGAAATAACCCCTAAGGAAGGTTGCACAAGCAACCTGCAAGGCGCTCCTAAGTTTGTTATTCAATCACAAGAACCTAGAGAATATAATTAAAAATTGAGGGCGCCAAGGAATTCTTAGTTGCCTGGTATCTTTCTTTTATATTAGTTTCTTATGCTCATAAAAAAGGAAATTAGAAAGTACATCTACATCTATGAAGAATTTTGATATGACCATTCCTCTTCTCTGTTGTCTAGTGACCCATCAGCCTTAAGGTGAGTTACGGCTTAATGTGCCAAGGGTTGGCATGGAGTATTTCTCAGGATCCAATCTGCATATTTAGGGGCCCATCTTGATGTCCATCCATTGTTTGGGGCTTGGAATGAGAATTGATAGAGCATGCCCGTGTTCGCATTCTTTTGGTTTAGTCCACTTCTTAAGTGAGATACAATCCTTGTTCTATCAATTTCTATTTCTGATCTGCTACAAATCCAGACGTAGATTCTAGTCTTTTCAATCTAGTGTCTAGCCCATAATGTACTGTCCTCACTTATTGCTCAACTTATCTTACAACCTTCATGTTGTTAAGGCACAGTGAGCATTATTTGACATCTTGGTGCATGGCTCCTAGCTACATTGACACCCCTCGACCAATAGAGGATAGATACACTTGGATGGTATGCCAGTGGGATTAGCAACGAACCTCTGTTGTGCAATCTATAATTCTGAACTGTTTCAAACAGCATTAGGCTTGTACTGAAGTCATATTGGTTCTATGATAATGAGTCATTGAAGATAGTTTGAGGGCGCTGTCTATGGCCAATGGACCAACATCTTTTGTGGAGGTCTGAGTTCAAGTAGCAGCTACATCATAGAAGAGAGCGTCACTTATTTATAGCATAAGTCCAACAGCAGTCTTAAACTCTTGGTCGCAGGATATGGTGCGGCGCCTTTGACTTCGACATGATAGGGCTAAATAGTGCCGCATCCTCACGGTCGTCGTTAATATGTCATTGCGGTTTACATCAACAATGGCGCCGAGCGTAGAATCTCCTACACGGATGAGTTCATATATGCACGACAAATGCAATTTTGTGCTCTTATCGTGGACCGCGAGAGCGCATGCTCCCGAGTTCAAAACATGATGGGCTTCTCGACTTACATGTAACCCCTGCTCACATGGTGCCTGAAATCCAATGCCATATACTGTCTGTCCTGCTTCGTTGCGGGCTCGAATAGTGTCTTAACTGCTAGGAAGTTTCTATGCCGCGACTAAGAACCATGAGGTTTGGATCGCAGTGTTCCGAATGAGCAAATCTAGGCACATTGCGACAACCACATTCCTTTGAGCCTGATAAGTTCATATCAGAGCAGAGACCGATGGGTATATTGTTCTAATCTGGCCCAGCGAGAATGTAGAAATCAACGTCCGATCACTTTGCAACTTTTGCCGCATACTGGTAACATTTCATCCAACTATGTGCGGTCACGAATGGTACTTTGGCGGATACCATAATGACTAGAGAACGTTTGGACAAATTTTCAGAGAAGCAGGCGCGCCAGTGAAAAAGCGAAAGACGAGCTGTCTAGGTGCGAGCGAATTACTCAGTAACTCGATCAAGTCGTCCACAGTACTGACATTGCTATGCGAACACAGTTTAGTCTACTCGAGACACAAAATGTTGTACATGAAAATTTATAACCAACATCGATATCATTACCGCTTGCTACCAAATGTTTTAGTCCGCCAAATGTTTTTGCTGACTCAAATTATTAGCCCAGAGCCGGCGCAAAATTGAACACTCCTCTCAATCTATCGTATTTTTGCATGCTTATTCTGTCCAAAAATTGAGTAGTCCACGAAATAATTTTCTCATATGTTTATTATGCTTATTTTATTTTCTTTTTTCTTCCAAAAAACTAATTCTAGTAAAACAACACTTTAACATTCGTGTTTAATACAACCTGTACCTACATAACACAGGAAAAAAAAAAACGAGAGCAGAACCGCTCCGAGTGAGGCAAATATTAATAAGTGTGCGTGAGTGGTGTGTATGTCTTGCCGAAGCCCCATCGTCTTTCTTCCTGTTATTTACTTCTTGTGAGGTAGTGAAATTGAGTAACTAGTAAATCCAATATAACCCATCAACGCTAAGAAGTACATATTAGTCTTAAGCAATTTATCGACAATACACCTTGCTATGACTGCGTGCAAATATCACTATCTCCTTAGTTCCAACCATTCACACAAATCAGCCTAAACAAAGAAACGTCCAACTTGCTTCGACTAGCTAATACATGCATTTAAAACATATCAATACGAACAAGTCGCAATTAATGTACCATACTTCAATCTTAAAATCTTCGATATCAATAGCAATATGTACCAGCAGACTAAACTCATAATTACACATAGCCCACTAGAAATAGGACAATGGAGTTAACGACCGAGAGCCATCTTCCTAAACACTTTAAAACTTGTTTCTATCAGATATGCACCCTACTTTCATCTACAGATTTTTTATGTAGAAAATTTTATGATTCAATTTGAAGAAGTCTTAATAAATCTCTAGGAGAGCACTAAGGGCACAAGTATTGCGATATAAACTAAAACATAATTGATGAATGTTTCGATTGTCCTCTTCCTAGCAAACAACGCAAGAACTCACGCGAATCATTTTTTCAGAATATCATGCTAGCTATGCAACGCATCATATTGTCCGTTTATGAGCGCACTTAGCCGCATGTGTTCGAATGACGCCTTATCATCTCTAGCTGCTATCATGCCAATCATTTAAGTGCTGAGAGCCTTATCGATGCAAGTACATGAAAGCTATGATCTTGCAAATAAATATATAATATAAATATGAGAGAGAACATAGATATAAGCATTTAATATCCGTCGGTGACGAGATGTGGTCCATGAATATATAGCCTATAAGAGTATGAATAATCAGCTCTCCATTATGAAAAATTTCAACATTTTAGTTATAAACACATATTGTTGAGCTCTACAATTTTAATTTCGAAGTAAAACAAGTACCCAAATTGCTCCAAAACCACTCTCTCCTCCTAAAACACACTCAACGGCAGCCATCCTTTGCTTCAGGAGTTTCTTCTCATGCTTTTCTTGAATAGCCTCACCAATATTGACAAGGCAGGAGCGATAAACTGAACCATATAACAAATGCTTCATCTATGACCTTGAATGTTATATTGCTAGTAAACACCAGGATTCAACACAATCACACTAATTAGTCGATAAAGAATGAATTCTTAAGTTCCACTGCATATTAAGACTGATAAGCCACAATCTTAACCCCCAGTTTGCAGGTTTAATGAATGAAAAGCATTCAACAACACACGAACAACCCACAAAAGTTCATAAATAAAAATGGAGAAAACAGCGACATTTGCACTCCCCATAAATTCAAGCTGGTATGAAGTGAACATAGTAAGAGGCAGAAATATTCTATTCAGAAGGCAAAACATTTTGCACTTGCCATTTGCTTCCCTAAGTAAGAACAGAACACATTAAAAAGCAGAACAAGCTTTACAAGAAATTGAAGTACATACAAGAAACCCATAAACAGTATTTTCGATTTCACAATATGGACGGGATAATATATGTACAACGTGATTAGAGCTATAAGACTGGCCCTCATGCGGTAAGTTCTGTCTTCTTTTTGCTTCAGCTGCAATCAGATGGAGGCACCAGACAACCGACCCCTCTTGTTTGAGGGTGTTATGTACCATAACGCTGAAACTGCATAATCACCTAACTTATAACAAATATCGCTTAGCGTATGCCCGTAGCCCTAAAGGCACGAGTAATAATATTAAGATTTAAAAATGAGTACAGTGGTAATAGTCATTTGCGAACTGATATAATTGAGTGCCGATAGGACAAATACTATTGAGATCACTAAGTCATCCCTTAAATTAAAAGAATTC